GGTGCCTCTAGCAGCGCCCGCAGCTCATTTCCATGCCTTGGATGGGGGCATGGAAAGGCTCTCCCCTCCCAGCGCAATCCTCTGATGTCCCAAACGCTCAATTAACTTCCAAGGACCCACGTCTTGGAGGCGCTGGGCAGCATCAGGCTTCAGCTCTGCCTTGGGCTTCGGCCTGATCCCGAGCGGGGAATGATTCCCTGAATATTTCCCTGATCAAACCCCACTTCCACCCTGAGACTGCGTTTGTCGTGTTTTAAGGCATGGGATGCTCTGCCCTAGCCCCGTTCCTCTTCCACGGTACCCACAGGGGCTCCTGTGCCTCTCTCCTGCTGCGGCATCCCGCATCTACCTCTCCTTCACTGTTCACTAAGAAACAAAGAGGCCGGTGTAAGTCAATGGAGCTCCCCACTACCTTGTCCCGTGCCATCAATTTTTCATCACAGAGCCGGTGGGAAGCGCGCAATTATCCACCTCATCAATAATGCACGGGCCTGCGCTTGGCTCACCCGGGCTGGGCAGCTGCTTCCCCTGCCTGCCCTGGAAGCTGCCGGATTAAACCACGGCTTTTCTAGGCTCAGACACCACCTGCAGAGCCTGGAAAACCATCCCCAGCCTTTAGTCCCAGCCTAACGCTTCCCAGACACCCACCCTCCTGTATTTCTGCCCGTGCTCGTCCTGGCACCTCCCCAGCACTGCCTCAGGGGCCGGGGGCAGAGTTAAGGGTATTTGAACACATTTTCCCCCTACGCCTCCTATCTCAAATCCACGCGGAGATAGCTGCGTTCCTCCTTCCCGCAGGGGTCTGGGATGAAAGGCTGGGAATCCACATCTGAAATGATGGAAGCTTTGAAACTCCTGGCAATCGCTATTTATTTTTAATATTTCCCCCCCCCCCCATCATTTCGAAGCCTCTGAAGCTTTCCCTGCCTTTAGAGCCTTTCATCCGCCCCGACGAGCCACCCCCCTCCTTCCTGTATTTGCTTAGGCCAAGTTGGTTTATTTTATTTTTTTTTTAATTTACTTAACAAATCGTTCCAAGACGCTTTCATGTATCCGATTAGCTTTGACTGCTGGAATCAATTCATCTCCAGACGGAGCAGCACAGAGCAAAGCGAGGTGGGGAGGAGGGGGGGGCTAGCAATAAACCTCTGTGGGAGGCAGGAAGGTCTGAAAGTGGCCGAAAATAGGGTGTGAGAGAGGATTCTGCATCTGCATGGCATGGCCTGACCCTGTCCCTGGCTGTGGGGGGACAGCAATGCAGCGCGGAGAGAGGCTGAGGACGGGCCAACTCATTTCACTTGTGAGCAACTGAGGCATTTGAGCCCCTGGCAGCGGCAGCAGCCTCTTCTGTGACACAATCTCCCTCCAGGCCAACGAATAAAACCTCCCTGGATGGGTATTAAGCCCAATTCCTTAATTGTTATGAAGATGGGATAAGCTCAGATTTACATATCTGAGGAAAAAAAAAAATTGCTGCATCGGCTTAGGAAGATCAGAGGGAAAAAAAAATCCCATTTTCCCCTCTTTTCTGTAACAAAAGCTCACAAAACCATCAGGAGATGGTGATGCCTTCATTTGCTTTGCCCGATGCCCTTGGGACATCCCCTTGGGACACGGGTACTGGCTGGGGCTGGAGGTGTGTCAGGTCCCCGATGCTCCGGGGACACACCGGTGCCCAAACCCATCCTCAGGCAAGGTTGGTGCAGCAACTTGGGGTTTTTTCCCCCCCTCTACCTCCAAAATTAAAGCGTTTCCCTGAGGAACCCCAACCCCCGGGGGACTCGCAGGTCTCCCAGGGGAAATAAGGAGATTTGTAGCCCGGCCGCTGCCCGCACACCTTAGCAGGATGAACCACCGGTGAAAGGCAGCAAATAAGCAGGGTTTTATCTGATTAAACCAAGGCTGAACTCCCTTCCCGTGCACCGGGGTGAGGGGGGGAGCCATGCTGGGGGAGTGGTGATGGTGTATATTAACCAAAGCATTACAATTCAATTTAAGAGTTAATTGGATTGCATCGAAAAGCGCTTAATCGGAGCCGAGTTCCATTTAATAGAGACACCACATCTCCTGCTCCCTTCCCAGCCAGGATGATGACTTTAGGGCGGGCGATTACCATCACTCTCCAGCTCCGGGCCCAGCTGCTGGCTGCTGATATCACGTTGTACAAGGGAATAAAAGCCTCTGGATTACACCAGGAAACGCAGGCAGGCAAGATGCTCGGAGTAGAGGCGACGGCTCCTCGGGCTCTGCCTGCTTCAAGATAAGGCTCAAGAAAGCAGCCGTGCCGCCAGCAGGGACTCTGGTTCCTCTGCGAGTCGCTGCTGGGTTATTTTGCTCAAAGAAAAAGAAAAAAATAAAAGAAAAAGAAAAAAAAAAAAAAAAGAAAATTGGCAGCTAGGAAGAGGCGGGAACACTTCTGAGAGCAAACATGGGCTGAGTCAGCTCCTGGCTCCTGAAAAAAAAGTTTTTCCCCCCATCCTGCTGCATGGGGCTGCTTTTGGGAGGGATGGGGACAGCCGGAGTGATGTCCCCAGGCGATGTCCTGCTGCTCACGGTGACTGGGAGGAAGAGGAGGTCAGCAGAGCCTCCCAGCGTGGGTCAGAGCATCCCCCGGTGCTGCTGCCCACCCGTGTCCACTGGGGCCAGGCCTAAAAAAGCCCCCTCCTGAGATCAAAAGATTAGGGCAACAGCTTACCACTGTTACCCTGGTTTGCTGCTGGGTCTTTGCGGGGTTTTTTTTCCCCTCCTAGGAAAACATCCTCATCTGTTCTTAAGATAAACATGTTTCCAGCAACTGGGGGGATGTGAAGAAATGGAGGAATATCACGAAAAACCCTGGTGGGAGACTTTGCAGGACTCAGCAGCTCCCCAGAGAGCCTGTTTGCCAAGCGTACCTTCTAAAATCTGTGCATGGGACCTGAGTTAAATACCCTCCCCTAGCCCCCCACTCCTTAAGTGCGCTCCAAGCATTTGCATTCCCTGGGCTTTGACAAATGGGTGGCTGCAGAGAGATAAAACCCAAGCATCCCCATCACCCCCACTGACGGGTACTGCCATGACTTGCCCTTGGCCTGATGGGCGGTTTCTTGCCAGCGCCGGGGCCATCCATTTTCATGTTTGCTTATGTATTGACTCCATTTGCTGATAAAACGCCCCTTGCATTTCAGCAGCAAGCATAAATCCATCAACCCCCCAAGCCACCATGCCGAGAGCACCCAGTGCTGTGCAGCACCCACTGCCCTGAGCACCCAACCACCCTGAGCACCTCCCCCCGGCCATCAGGTCCCATCCTTCATTAATTAGCACCGGGAAAGGTTGAGAAGTTGCTAAATGAGGATGGATGAGCCCTTCCGTGTTGTGTTCAACGAGGGTTTAGTAGTGCTGCCGGGACTGGGTTGGAGCAGGACAGGCAAGGGCGCACACGTGCCAACCCCACCACCCCCCC